GGGGGCTGCAGTGACACCGGTGGGGGGGTGTGGGGGGGTTGCAGTGACACCGGGGCGGGGCTGCAATGACACCCGGCTTCAGCCACCCGCGGCTCCGGAGGAATAGATCACAGCGTCACAGAACCACCGGATGGAAAAGACCTCATGGAGTCCAGTGACCAAACACCACCATGCCCACGAGACCGTCCTTCCTTAAACATCTCCAGGGACGGTGACTCCACCACCTCCTTGGGCAGTCCGTTCCAATACCTAACCACCTTTCTGTGAAGAAAGTCTTCCTAATGTCCAGCCTAAACCTTCCCTGGGGCAGCTTAAGATGTTGGGACACATGCACATACAGGCTCCCGTGGCTCCTCGGCATCTTTTCAGAAAAATATTTCCAGTTCAGGAGTGCTGATCTCCACAAAGATACAAAGAAAGAGTTTTAAAGCATGTCAGAAATAGGGGTGAAAGAGCTGTGTGTGTGAAAACCAGGTGGGATGTGTTCAATCTGTCCAGGCAGAACTGAATGGGATTTTGGGGCAGGAAAAGCACAGCCTCTGTGTCAGGTTTCGGTCATTCCTACCCTATTAGGCATTACTCGCTTCTGACGTACCGAAATGGGAAATTGTACAAACACTCAAATACTGTTAATAAATATTAGTCCCCGGAAATACTGTAAAATAGGGTTTGATGAATGATCAACTAGCATAGTTTTGATTTCAGCCTCTTGCGAGATGTTACAAAATAGTGTAATGGCCTCCTTGGATTTTGGAAGGCAAACTAACTGAAAATTAGTTACAGCAAAGAGAACAATTACTGCAGGACTGTGAGTTAGGATATTTTCTACATTTCTGAAAAAAGGGCTGTGGAGCTGTTCTTTTGAGATATGGTCTCCTTGGTGACTTCCTCAGCTGCACGGGAAGGCCTCAGATAAGTTTGGTGTGTAACCTATGCATCTTATTAACCTGTTTTCTTCTGGGAACTTTTGTATTTTATTCATTTGTGATGCACCTGGTCTCTCACACACATAAGATAACACTGTTGAAGCACTGAGATACAAGTAGTTTTATCCTGCTCTTGGAGAGACCTGTTCAATTTCCAAGGAAAGCAGCATGCTGCAAACCTGCATCTCGGAGCAGAATGGATGTGTGGGCTCTGCTAAAGGCATGTGTGGCTCTGTAAAATCCTCTGAGAAGCTGTTTCTGCAAAGCTCTGTAGAAATGTCAATACAATACAGGAAATTATTCTGAAGCAGCAACTGAATGTTCTGCTCACATTTTTTAAAATTTAATTTTGCCCTTCTTGATACATGCTGGGTGAGGAGCCACATGGTATTGACTGTCTCCTCATTTCACCCAAACTTTCACCCCAGCCAGAGGGCGAGAGCTGTGGCTGACACACTGCAGTGTGCAGAACATGCTTTGGAGTTCTTCTTGCTTTCATTTCTCAGCACTAAGAGCTCTGCATCATTCTGATGCAAACTCATGTGCTTTATTGCTGAAATGTCCTCAGAACGGGCGAAGAAGTCCCGGGAGCCTGAGGACTTTTTGCTGTCACTGTGCTGACCTTCAGAGAAGGATCTCAAAGCACTTTTGAAAAACATTGACAAGTATTCACTGGCCATGCTAGAAGCAAAATGAGGAGCCCAGCCATAAAATCTGCAGTTCCTTGCTAACTGCATGAAATGGCTGGTTTTTATTTTGCCCCGTCTGGTTTCCTGTGGACTTCTGATGGAGAGAGGTGCTGCAATGCCTGTGTGAGGGCTGCCTGCTTGGTTCCATCCCCATCCCCATCCCCATTCCCATGCCCATCCCCATGCCATCCCCATCCCCATGCCCATTCCCATGCCCATTCCCATGCCATCCCCGTTCCCATCCCCATCGCTGCTCACACGGTTGGGAGGCTGTTCCTCACTTGCCTCCCAGCCTGTCCTATGGATGGGCTGGAAAGAAGGCGAGAAGCAGCCAAGAGGGAGCCCTCATGGCCCCAGAAGAGGAGCAGCGAAGCACTGCTCCAGGATGCACCAAAACAGGATATTTCATCAGTAGAACAGCTTCAATCTCCTCATTGCCCAGATGGGCAGGCTCCTAGATGGGGAAAGGAAAATTAAAAGGTCCTTTTGGACGCTTTCACGCCATGGTGGAGCTGGATGAAGGGATGACGATGGAGAGGAGTGGAGATGTCCCCCTTCTGTCCCCTCAGCTCCTGACGGCTCCTCAGGGGACATTATTTTAGTGAGACAAACGGTGCTAATGCCTCCACGGCTCTGCCGCGGAGTAACGCGGGAGTTGTGCCTGAGCGTTCCTGGAACTCCTGGTGATTTTTTTTTTAGGGGAACGCTCATGAATCCACTCGTGTCCCGTTTCACAGCGAGCACCTCGTTCAGCCGCGGTGGCCCAGGCCTCTCTCCCGCCCTTGGCTCGGCTGTGACACAGCCACAGGCGCGCCGCCATCTTCCTGCGGGGCCCGCGGCCGCCGGGGGCAGGGCGCCACCTGCGGGCCGCCGGCCGCACCGCCAGGGGCTCGCGCGGGGCGGGGGTCGGCGCCGTGAGGAGAACGGGCCTGGGAGGGAATTTGGTGCCATGATGACAGGGGGGTCCGGTCCGGGGGTCGGTGCCGGGAGGAGAACCGACCGAGGTGGGGTTGGTTGCCATTAGAAGGAGAGGGGTCCTGGGGGGGTGATGCGCTGAGAAGAGGGGTCTGGTACCATGAGGAGAAGGGGAGTCTGGGGGGTGTTGTTGTTGCCTTGAGAAAGGGCGTCCAGAAGGGGTTTGATTCCCTGAGGAGAAGGGGGTCCGGGGCTCTCTGGTTCCCCTGGCGTGGTGAATGAGGACAGGAAGGCTGGAGACCTCCAGGGCTGAGACCCCCAGGGCCAAGGTGACAGGAAAGGGTGGTGGGTCCCGGGCACAGGGCTGAGTGCTGTGTTTGCTTCTGCCAGCGAGCTTCACCAAAGAGAGTATGACTTCACCATGAGAAAAGACAGAGTTTCATGCTGGATAGAAATGCCCCAAGATCCATCCAGCTGTTTCTGAGAGGACGTGGGGAAATGCAAATGGACACAAAAGTAAAAATAATAAACCCAAAATGTGCTGATGGCTTGGGCCAGGGCTGGGCTGCCCCAGGGGCAGAGGTGGCCCCAGGAACCAGAGAGGCACTGCCAGTTATGACTTTATTCATTTTCACATTTAGATATTACAACAAAACTCTTAATGACAAAGGATAACAAGTACTATAGGAGAAGAGGAAAGGAAGCAGTGTTCTAAGTGGTTTGATATATAACCGTGAACTTCCAGAGACAGGACTCACCGTGAGTTACAATCACTCACATAACGCTCACTGGTAGGAAAACTCACGTGCAAATACCCACACATTCACCCACAGCACACTCACACACACACAGACCATGCTTTGTACTCACACATAACCCCTGTTTTAGCCTACTTGCTTCAAAGACAGCCCACTGAAACATTGAATGCTGCTAGAGCAACAACAGGTACCAGGTTAAAATATTGCAATATAAATGGAGTGTTACTTGATACACAGGTTTTTCTTCAGAGACACACGTGTATTTGCAAGTAGGGGACCCAACACTGTTTTCAGGAGGGAGGAATGTCCTCTCAACACCAACAATTTGTAAAGAAAAGTGAGATTGAGCACAGAGTGGAAGCAACCATTTTAAAGGAAGGTGATGATGATAAATAGCTTAGCTTCAATGTTGAGTTCCAAGCCCAAACAAAACAAAACAGAGAGTGCATTTTGAACAGAGCAGGCACAAATATTGAAACCTGGGTTTTAAACACTGAAATACTCTCTTGGTGCTGTGGAAAGATAAACACTTCCTTCTCACATCTTAAAACCAAAACAGACCAGCTTCACTTCATGCTTATTTGGAGACTGTAAAAATAAAAAGCCAGAAATATTTCAAGAGAATGGGAAGGGTTATCAGGTTTGCACATCTAATTTTAGTACACCTTTAGAGAGCAAAAGTGCAATTGTCTCAACAGCTCTTCAATATCCCACACTACAGTTGTCCTTCATCAGCAGGAGTGTCTGAAGAGGAGCCAGATTTTGCTCCTATCAGGCTGCATTGTTCATGCAATACTGTTGACACAGACACAATAGGATCTGATTCCACCCCCCATGTAGATGGTGCAAGAGAGACAAAATAAACTTCTGTGGAGTTGAATGGTCAAAAATCAGATGACACAGAAGTGCTTTCTCCAGGGTGACGCGGGGGATCATTAACAATGGTTTTAACAATATAACCCTTCTCCACAAGGATGCTTGTGAGCAATTTACAGCTAAACCTAGAGAAAAAGTGCAGCTGTACTGGCTGGATGTCCATGCTGACAACCAGCCTGGGCACTAAGATGCCTCTGTCCCCTTTCTGCTGAGGAATTCTGCCATGCCCAGCAAATGTCATGCTCTGCTGGTACATACCTGTCCCTTACATATGGACAGGGACCAACAGCTACTTTGAAATGCTGTTTTTTAACTATTATATTGTTCTTGGGCTCTCTCTCAGATGGGGCTGTTTCCAGGTAAAGAACTCTTCATGGAGTACTGGAAACAAGAGAGTCTGGGTCCTGTGGATGCACATCACCCAGTGAGCAGCCTGAATTTAGCTCAGCTGGTCACCTTCTACCCCTGTCAATGCCAGGCAGGACCAGCACGAGTCACATGCAGCCTTCCTGCTGCCAAGGGAACCACCAGTTCCAAAAGCAGGGCAAGATGAGGGCAGGAGAATTTGATCTGGCCTACACCCTGTTGGCTGTCCTACTTCCTTGTCCTGGCTCTCCAGCAGCTCCTGCCAGAGGATTCTTACTGAGTCGTAACAATTACTTAAAGCTGCTTAAATTCCTGGCAGCTTCAGGGGACACCAGTAGAAGTCAGGGAATTCATTGTCATATGCAGTTTCCAATTCCACATCCTGAGCCAGTTTGGCTCAAGCTGGTCTGGTTTTGTGCCTCTTTTTTGCCATGGAAATTGCAGCTATGTCATCCTTCTGACACAAAAAGGGAGTGGAACATTGAACAAGCTGCACAGGCTTAGAGAACCTGAATGACAGGCACGCTTTTCCCATGTGCTAAATAAATCTCCCCATTACACTTGTGTGGAGAGCTATAATTAAGACTTGGCAACATCATCCATAAGGACTCATAGGCTTACATTGGGAAACGCGTAAAACCCTCTGCTGGAAAAGAAATACAGTTTGGGAAACTGTACATCTGACAGGAAACACAGTTTTACAAGTCCAAACCCTTGGCTCTGTGACAGAGGTGTGGCCCACAAGCAGTAATTCCCTGGTGCTGAGATGCCCTGGTGCACAGAGCTCTGCCAGCCACGGGCATGTGGGAGAAGAGATGATGACAAGCTGTTCAAACGAGCCTTTTCACCCAGACTCCTGAGGCGGTGATGTAACCGTGCTCTGTGGCTGAGCTCTTGGATTGCGAGCAGGATGGAAAGAAGTAGGTGGGAAGTGGTGAAACAGCAGTACAGAAATCTATAGAGAGGGGCTGTGGAGGTTCCCCAGAGCTCTGAATTCATGTGGTATCTCTTAGAAGTAGAAGACCAAAGTGAGGAGATGTTTCCTCAGCAAATAGCTGTTTCTTAATCCTCTGGAGTCAGGCATGCTCTGCTGGAAGCTCTGCAAAAGAAACTGGAGAGGAGCCTGCTGGGCAGAGTGCCTCCTTTGCGTCAGGGAACTCAGGAGACAGGAAAAGTCATGGTGCAAACTGTCCATCCAGGAGAATCAGGGCTTGAACCCTGGCAAGGTGCTGGGCTCCATGTGTTCAGTGATGTCAACACCTAAGGGGATGTAACCCAGAGCACCTTATTGCTGGAGCACTGTTCCTTCCATTGTTTCCAAAATGCTTTGCAGCAGCTTGAAAATAAACATTTCACTCCCTGCCCTTTTGATCTTTTCCTCCCAGCAAACTCTGTGTTTAGAAGCCAGCTCAAATTAACCTAGCTTTGCTTTAATTTCTCACTTGAGCAACAAATGATCTCAGCACCATTCTGGGAGAAGGGGAAGGCAAGAGCAGTAGACCTGTGAGTAACCTGCTCTCAGCAGAGATCATAAAAGAACATGTTTTGCACATAGCCTGCAAAAAAATTGGTGTTTATCTCACCGGGAGCACTCTAGCCATCTGCTGATGACCTACTCAGCAATAGCTGTGTTGAGATGGCTAAAATAATCCTAGTGATAAGGCAGATTGGCAGATTTCCCCCCAGCAGATATGAGAGGGGTGTGGGTGTTGCTTGCAGAGGAGACGGAGAGGCTGACACCTACTCAGGATGAGCAGCATGCATGAACATTTACAAAGATCCCTCGGGATCTCTCTGTACACCTCTTTAAAATGTCCTGCTCTTGCTGCTAATACCACTAGGGATTTCTTCCCTTTGATTCTGCTCCACAGCTCAGCAGCTGACATCATGATGAGGGGAGGAGGAAGCAATCCAAGGAAAAACATTCAGGCTGCACACCAGGAAGAAACTTGAGACTAAGACAGATCTATTTATATCTGACCTGAAATGGGCTTTCTGAATGGGAAGCTGATCTGAGCGGAGGCTGGATGTTAGGCAGAAGGTGCCATAGTGCTGAACACAGGCACCCACTCTCGGGCAGAATGCATCTGTCTGAGGTGCAGGAATAAAAGAAATATGAGGAATCAGTGATGTGCTCTCTCCAGTCGCGGCACAGGGAAGCTGCAGCTGGAGGTGCTGCGTGGTTCATGCTGCGGTTCCAAGGACATCGGTGTTCCCCGTCTGTTTGGGCTAGGTTCCCGGTTGGGTTTGGGCATAGATTGAAGGAGAATCTCTGAGTGACCCTGATGACATGCCTGGAGGGCCTTGCAGTCGCCTCCAGGGCCCGGTGCCATTAGTACTGCTCGGAGAAGAAGGAAGCGTGGAGAGTGGGGGGACTGGCCCCCTCTCCAGGCGGGGTGCAGCTGCCATCCTCAGAGTGTTCCGACAGCTCCCCGTATTCACTGTTGTAAAAAGTCTGGCCTCCGACTTGGGACCCATAAGACGGCCGACATCTGCCCCGCAGGTCTGACTGCTCCCCTGACAGCTCCATGGTTCGACTGGGCCCTTTACTGCTGTGAGGGAGAGAGACACAGAATTAACCTTGGCACTCCATAAAGCCTCTGTCCTGCTTAGAGAAATCCTAGCTTCAGAACATCTCATCTTCTAATGATGCAGCAGAGACAGGGTCAGGAATGGACTTGCACCTCCATTTCAAAGCACAAAACCAGGCCTTGCTCCAAATCTAACCATAGCCTGTTTGTTTTGTGACAAATCCACACATAACCTGGAACACTTACTTCAGCTCTCCTATATACCTTTGGGATACCTTCTAGATATAGGGAAGGGTTGGGACCCCAGAGAGTAGGGAGAGACAAGAGACATTGCCTTAATTGCTTCTAGACCTGGCAGGAATAAAAGAAA